AGCCTCAAAGGCGACGAAGGGGCCCCCAAGAATGAAGCAAGCGAGAAGAAGGCCCCCCCAAAGATGCCAGCTTGTAAGAGTTTTAGTTCTCCTCAGACGCTGCTGCTGCTATCGCTGTTGCTGCTACTGCTGCTACTGCTGCTATTGCTGTTGCTGTTGCTGCTGTTGCTGTTGCTGTTGCTGTTGCTGCACGACGGGTGCTGCTGCTGCCGTTGTAATTCGCTGCAACAGCATCCCCAGCAATATCAGCAGCACCTGCCGCAGCAACAACTGCAGCACATCCAGTCGTAGCTGCAGCCAACAGCAGGTGCAGCAGCAGCAGCAGCATTTATGTGTGTTTATCTGGGTGTTTGCAGCAGACTCCGCTACCACCCCTGGCCTTGCTGAGGCTGGAGATAGCGGAACAGAGGGCCCCCGGGGGGCCCCCAAGCCTGCTGCTGCTGCTGCTGCTTCTTCACTGCCGACACCGCAGCAACTTAAAGAACCCCTAAGGGGGGCCCCTCCATTAGGTGGTGCCTCCCCTGTGCCCTCACTAGTGCCACCAAAGAGGGCCCCAGGAGACAGCAGGGGCCCCCCCGCCTCATCGAAGCCTTCAGGGGGGCCCCCAGCCGAACTACTAGGGGGGCCCCCCAAAACTAGTACAACGGGGCCCCCCCTTAAGACCCCTCTACAGGGGCCTTCACCTGATCTCTCCAAGGGGCCCCCAGCAGATCGCGTGGAGGGGCCCCCCTCAACTGCTTCAGAGGGGATTGCTTCAACTCCTTCAGGGGAGTGCCCCCCAAAGGGGCCCCTAAAGGGGGCCCCAGCAACCCGTCCCCAGGGCCCTCCAATGAAAGCCCCAGAGGGGCCCCCAGCAAGAGCTTCGAAGGGGCCCCCAAAGAAGCCTCCAGAAGGACTGCAGGGGGGGCCCCCACCAGAGCCCCCAGAGACTCTCAGTCCGAAACAGAAGCAGGGCCCCCCCAAGAAACCCCCTGAGGGGCCCCCACCCAAACGGTGCGGAGGGCCCCCAGCGGAATCTGCGCTGTCAGAAGGGCCCCCAAAGGAGACACCCGAAGGGCCCTCGGCGAGCCCCGCTAAGGGGCCCCTACTGAAAGTCTCAGGGGGGCCCCCAGCAACGCAGCCAAAGGAAACCCCAAAGAAGAAGGCCGAGGGGCCCCCAACAATACCACCTGGGGGCCCCCCAACAAAACCATCTGGGGGGTCTCCAAAGAAGGCGGCAGAAGGGCCCCCAAAGAAGGCAGCGGGGGGCCCCCCAAAGAAGCCGCCACAGGGGCCCCCAAAGATTTCAACAGAGGGGCCCCCAGCAAAGCTCTCGGAGGGGCCCCCAGCAAAGCTCTCTGAGGGGCCCCCAGCAAAGCTCTCTGAGGGGCCCCCAGCGAAGTCATCAGAGGGGCCCCCAACGAGCCCACCAGATAAACCAGCAGCAAAACTCCAGCAAGGGCCCCCAAAGAAGGGGTCAGAGGGGCCCCCGAAGAAGCCATTAGGGGGGCCCCCACTTCTTAAGGAGCCCCCAAAGAAGGGGTCAGAGGAGCCCCCAAAGAAGGGGTCCGAAGGGCCCCCAAAGAAGGGGTCAGAAGGGCCTCCAAAGGAGTCAGCAGAGGGGCCCCCAGCAGATTTCCCTAAGGGCCCCCCAAAGAAGTCATCGGAGGGGCCTCTAGCAAAGAAGTCATCAGAGGGGCCCCCAAAAGGGGCCCCAGTACAGAAAGGAGCAGAGGCGCCCCCAGTAAAGAAAGGAGCAGAGGGGCCCCCGAAGGGGCCCCCAGGAAAGAAGGCAGCAGAGGGGCCCCTACAGGGGCTCCCAGCAAAGAAGGCAGCAGAGGGGCCCCCAAAGGGGCCCCCACCAAAGAAGGCATCAGAGGGGCCCCCAAAGGGGCTCCCAGCAAAGAAGGCAGCAGAGGAGCCAAAGGGGCCCCAAGCGGTGAGTTTTCAACTGCAGCGGCCATCTCCAGGGGAGGAGACAGTTGGTGAGGAGACAAAAGAGGCTCTTTCAGCGTCAAGCTCTGGGGGGGCCCCTAAGAACAGAGAGGGGCCCCCCATGAACAGAGAGGGGCCCCCCAGCACCGCGGGGGCCCCTACGCGAGAGAAGGATCCACTTAAGAAGGCATTACCCCTCACAGCTGCTGCTGCACCTGCAGCAGCAAATGCCTCTGGGTTTACAAATGCAGCGGCCCCTCTTGGTGGCCCCCAGGCCTCAGAGATTGCAAGGGGGCCCCCTCGCGGGTTTGCTGAGGAGGGCCCTAAGGAGACACAGGGGCCCCTGGTACCCGCTAAAGAAAACAAAGGGGGCCCCCCTTCAAGAGAACAAGGAGAGGCCCCCCATGCAGAAGGAGACAGAGATCTGCTGCCAGACGCGCTGCTGCAGCAGATGGATCTCTCCCCCGCAGCAGCAGCAACAAAGACAGAAACAGCAGCAGCAGCAACGGAGACAGCAGCAGCAACACACGGGTCTCCTAAGACCCCCAAGCCATCAACCCCCGGGTCTGCGAGCCGCCTGAGGGACTCCGCTGCTGCTGCTTTCAAGCGGGGGGCTTTAAACACAAGAGCAGTTGCAGCAAATAGACGTGCAGCAGCAGCAGCCGCAGCAGCAGCCGCAGCAGCAGCAGCAACAGCAGAAGCTGCTGCTGCTGCTGTACCTGCTGCTGCTGAGGCGCGTGCCCCTGCGCCCCCGCTAAGTGCGCAGAGTACAGCTGTCTCTAGGGACAACTTAAATGGAGACACACAGGTGCCCCCACCTGCTGCACCACTTTCTAAGTCTAGTGGGGGGCCCCCCAGGGGGCCCCCCCTCAAGGGACCCTCCCCAAAGAAAGCGCCTGCAGCAGATGGGGGGCCCCCCCAGCCCTCCGCTGCTGCGAGCCCCATACCAGGGCCGCTGCCGCCCGGAGCAGCAGAAAGGTCTTCACCAAAGGGGCCCCCACAAAAGAAACCTGCACCAGAGGGCCCCCCCCCATCAAAGGGGCCCCCACCAAAGGGACCCCCAGCAGAGGGGCCTCCACCAAAGGGGCCTCCATCAAAGGGACCAGCAGCAGGGGGCCCCTCAGTGAAGGGGCCCCAAGAAGCAAAAGGGCCTCCACCAAAGGGGCCTCCATCAAAGGGGCCAGCAACAGGGGGCCCCTTACTGAAGGGGCCCCAAGAAGAAAAAGGGCCTCCACCAAAGGGGCCCCCTGCAGCAGGACCCCTAGCAGAGGGGCCCCCACCAAAGGGGCTTCCATCAAAGGGGCCTCCACAAAAGAAACCTGAAGCAGAGGGCCCCCCTCCATCAAAGGGGCCTCCATCAAAGGGACCCTCAGCAGAGGGGCCTCCACCAAAGGGGCCTCCATCAAAGCCTCCACGAAAGGAGCCAACAGCAGGGGGGCCCTCACTGAAGGGGCCTCCAGAAGCAAAGGGGCCCCCACCAAAGGGGCCCTCACCAAAGGGGCCCTCACCAAAGGGGCCCCCACCAAAGGGGCCCCCACCAAAAGCGTCCCCAGCAGGAGGGCCCCCAACCAAGGAGCCCCAGCCAAAGGGGCCCCCAGCAGAGAGTCTCCAACCAATGGGGCCCCCACCAAAGGGGCCCCCACCAAAGGGGCCCCTACCAAAGGGTGCCCCCCTAGGAGAGGGGCCTCCCTCCTCTTCGGAGCAGAGTCCGAGGGGTTCTTCGGGTGAATGCACTGAGGGCCTTATCACCACAGTGGCAATGGGGGGCCCCCTAAAGGGCCCCCCCCAAGGGAAATCTACTGTCTCTACAAGGCCTTACATCCCTCGCCTACCGCTAAACAGAACCTTCAGCTAAGCACAAGACGTCGCTGGGTATGAAGGGGGGCCTACTATGAGGCCCCCCTCATTTGGGGGCCCCATAGGGGGGCCCCCTATGCTCTAGAGGTGTGTCTGTCTGACGCGCCTCAGCTGCTGCAATAGGACGCCCTGAGGGGGAGAGGCTCCCCACCGGAGACAGACTCGAAGGGGGCCCCGGGGGCCCCGCTGCATCCTAACAAGGATGGAAGGGGCCCCCCCATGGGGGCCCCCTTCATACCCCGGTGGGCGTCTGGGAGGGTTCAGCTACTAGGTGTATACCAGAAGTAGTGAAGGGATTAGGGTTTAGGGTTTAATGCGTTTAATAGAAAGGGCGGCAGGCTTTACCTCCGTCTCAATATGTTTGTAAAATTGATTTTAAGGGTCTAGGGTTTAGGGTTTGGGGCTTAGGGTTTAGGGTTTAGGAGGGCCCTTCCTTAAAAGGCCATCAAACTGGGAGGGGGCCCCCAAGGGACTGAATGAGACAGGGGGCCCCCCAGAACCCAACTGTGCAGCAACGTTTTGTGGGGGCCCTTGGGGCCCCCCTTTCAATGGGGGGGC